GGTAAAAAATAATCTCTTCATTATTCTTGATAGCATGTTGTATTGGTTGTGTATAGTATATTATCAACTATTTCTATCATATTATATATATTTTATATTTTCTTCAACCTTTATATAAGAAGCATTTTAGAAGCATTAGAAGCATTTATTAAAGTAAAAAATATTTTTTTTATAAAAAAAATTAATAAAATTAATAGATAATAGATAAAAATATTAGATAATAGATAAAATAAATTGTAAATTCAATTTATTAAATTATAATTTATATTTTTAAAAAGTTTCAAAACAAATTTGAAATATTTATAAATCTATTTTAATTTATACTTCTGTACAAATTTTTATTATATTTAATTTTTCAAATAAAAAAAAAAATTTTATCAATTAAAATTTTTCAATGAGAATCAATCAATTAAAAAAGATCTATAATCATTTATATAAAAACATTTAAAAAAATAAATAATGAGATTTATGATAATTAAAACAACAAAAAATTTTAACAAAATCTCTTCATTTATTTTAAATTTTTTAATTTCATTTTTAACATTTCATTTTTTATTATATTTTAATATATTGATATTCATATTTAATGACTGCTTCAATGTATATATGTTTCATAAAAGTGCATGTAAAATACTCAACTAACGCGTTTATCCACTCCCTCCAATGTCCTCTGTATTCGACTATATAATTCGTCAGCTTGTTTCAAGAGTTACAAAGAACATTTTACTTTCCACTGCAGAGGGTAGCTTTGAAATAAGATTTCATTTTATACTATACTACTATACTATATTACGGTAATTCTCATAAGTTTCAACTTTTTTGATACATCATAAACGTTTATTTTTTAAGATTAAAAATAAAGGAACAAGTTTTAATTACAATATGAAGATTTATCTTTTACTATTTGTCTTGGTCATAATTACTTGTGTAATAGCGGAAGATTATACTACCAAATATGATGATATGGACATTGACAGAATTCTACAGAATGGTCGTATCCTCACTAATTATATTAAATGCATGTTGGACGAAGGACCATGTACCAACGAAGGTAGAGAATTAAAAAGTGAGTATCAATATAATTTTTATAAAATTATAACTAAATGTTTGAAAAAAATTTTTTATTTTTAATTTTTTTTTCGTTTTTGTAATAATAATTTTTGTAATAAGTTCAATATAATATTATAATATTATATTTTGATTTTAATTATATTATGCAATATAATTTTTAATTAAGATTTTTTTTTAATTAAGATATCTGAATTTGAATTTTGTTTGAATTTAATGTTTAAAATATGAAAATTATGTATATAAATTATAATATAATAATATTTAAATTTTTTATTTAAAAAATAAAAATAAAAATAAAAATAAAAAATAAAAATAAAAATAAAAAAATAATATAAAAGTATTATTATTTATATTAAAACATGATTTTATTGCAAATAAAATAAATTATTTGTATTGTNATCATTTTTTTTCCACTTATAATTGTTTTTAATATTTTAATTTTTTAAATATTTAAAAAATAGATAAAATAAATAAATTATACGAAAGAAAAAATATCTATCTTATAAAAATTGATTTAAAATATTTTAGAAAT